TTATACAACGTTGGTGGACTTCATTTCTGAATTCAAATTGAATATGCTACAAAACAATGAGCAAAAGTGGGTCTAGCAAATCAGAAAGCAATTCCTTTATTCCTCTGTGCAATCTTAAATATTTTAAATCACGAGATAATATTAGTTTATGTGATGCAATTTAAATTTTTTTGTGAATCGCTAAATCCTTGTAACATGAATTTGGACCATAGCAGTGAATTTATTTGTCACTATGCATCTGGTTTTCTGTATGTGCAGCACCGCTCAACGATCTTGCCTCGAGTTTATGAATATTCCGAGATTTCTTTTTCTTTTTTCCAAATATTTCACAGTTGAAGGCAATATCACGATCTTGTATTGACTAAAATCCAAGTTATAGAAAAATTTGAGCAAAAACTTCAAAGTGAGGTGCAAGAAATTCGAAAGGTGTTCCATTGCAAACTCTACACCGAGCAATATAGAATAGGGATGGAGTTTGAAGCACAACTAAGCTCATATGATCACAACCACATAAAGGTAGTTTTTCCTTGAGCTGATGCTTACCCTGTTGACATTGGAAATTACTTTTGCGGGTGTGACATCACTTTTCACACCACAAGAAAATTGTTCAAGTACGCATCAACTTATGTATCATAATCACATTGCACATGCTTAAAGCATAAACTTAACTGCCCTCATCACATTGCACATGCTTAAAGCATCAACTTCACTATGCATCGTCTAAACACCCACAATTCATTGTTGTGTGTCATTTGGATAATATGATCGCAATTACTCTCTTATAATTGTTATTTTCTAATGAAGCGGAGCTGTCATTAATGTTGAAAAGAGGCCAAAGGTAGCCGTTGCCTCAATCTTCCATAGCGGTTATGAAGAATACAGAATTCTGACTTTGTCGACTTGACGTAATATGAAATGTTCCATTGCATCATTAGTCGTGGAATACTTTTTGTATTTAGATTTTTAAAGAAGGTTGACTTTTTGTTGGTTTTGTATGTAGAATTATTTTCTTGTCTCTTCTACGTTTGCATTCAAAGAGTTTGAGGAACACATTTTTTTTTTTTTGATGGCGGTGTTCGTGCGTGCTGTCGTCGGTGGGGAGAGGCAAGCGAGGTTTGGCTGAAAAGGGAGGCAGGCCTTGGTCGTTTCTGGCTTCATGTGGACGGAGCAGGTGGGGCGCTGCTGTTGATGGAGCTTCGCCGGCGTTCCATTTTGGCTGGGTCTCCTGCGATGGCGTCGGTTGGTGTTGGTGGTGTGTTGATTGTGTTTTGGTGGTGTGTTGGTTGTGTGGTTGGTTGTGTTCGATTTGGTGGTGTGTTGGTTGGTGGTGTGTTTCTTCTTTGGTTGGGTTGTGGTAGTTGTGCGGTGCTTGCTTCGGGTTTTGGGTATTCAATCACCGGTTTGGTAAAAGGCCTGCT